AAAATGTAAAAATTTTTAAATAGGCACCTCATTGTTTGTAGCCTCAACATGTTTAATGAAAATAAAATGAAGTTTTAGTCTGCCTCGGCTATCAGTTTCCTATTCATTATGTACTAGCATTCTATGCAATCAAAATTCTTGTTCTTCAATTACGGATTCAACTTTCTTACGTTCTACATCATCAATATTGCAAAGTCCTTTTTATTATAATATATATATATATCGATATATATATGTCTCAAAATTAGCTCTCCTTCAAAATTAGCGTGGAGTGAGGCTGTAGCAACCATCCTTCCATGAAATTACATGGACCAGACAACAACAACAGAGATGCCTTCGGTGAATAAATTGCGCTTCTTTTCAGTAATACGAAATTGATAAAAGTGCTTTAGTTTTCAGCTTAGCATGATGCCTTCGATTTAAATTACAATTTTATGGATTTGATTTAGCAATTTTGGGAAAGCATATTAATTGGTGTTTAAAAGTATGTAAAATGTAAGAAGATTTTCTCTTCGCTAAATGATTTCGCAATCATAAAAAATGTGTCAGTCCATTTAATGTTGTTACTTTGGTTTAGAATATGCTAAGCATGTTTCATATTTTTGAAGTAAATTATTCATCTAGCATATATCTAGTATATAAAGAAATCATTTGCATTGTGATCGAATTGCAAATTCGTAACTTTTTATTACATTGAATTTAAAATATATAGCGCTTTTATGAAAATTAAAAATAGTATCAGAAATATAAATTTAAATAACTGTTTTTGAATTATATAAGTAAAGAATTTTAATAATATTTTTAGGGAAGATTATTAAATTGTATTGTAATTAAAAAGTGAAATAGATAAGAAAAAAGTAATTTCAAGTTAAGGTGGACAAATATTATAATGATGTAATGAATAATCAATCGTATGTTAAATTTAAGGTACGTTCAGGGAGCACTGGCTCAGAAACAGAGGCCTAGTACTACCTCTGTTTCATTTTCCTTTTGCCTTCCTCATATGAGATAATGTTGAAAGCTCTCATTTTATGGCTCAGTGTAATTTTTGATATTTTTTTTTATGAAATGCATTAGTGTAGTTCACAAAGGCAAGCCCTTAGCCGCTGGTGCAGGACAAACACACCAGTTAGTTCAAATGGATATCCTGCTGTTGTTGGCTGGTCCACTTGCAAATGTGTTAAAGCTAAGAACACAAAAGATCAGTCAAAACGTCACAAGAGGGCCTCATTTTCAATCTGCTTGTATAAACGCCTTGTAGAACATTTGCTACACAGAATAGCCCCAAAATAAATTCCTTTATTAGGTTAAAATCAATTTAATATTAACATATTCGAAATAAGCAGTTTCCATTAAGTTAATGAAACTGAAGAAGGCGATGAAACTTCGTGTTTTTCCTGAGACAAAACAAAAGAAACGAAAAACGAAGGAATTGAGACGATCTGTTTGGGATGGAAAAGGTTCACCACGGACACTTCAAAAATTTCAGCTTCAGAAATCTTAAGCAAAGAGTAAATTGATGACTTTTTTCGACTGGAAAGAGATAATTCACAATAATTATTTTCTGTGGGAGAGAGAAAAGGCAAATTTCATATTTTATAAAGACGTATTCTAAAAGAATTTAGCGTTCTATGTCTAAGAAAACTCAATCAAATAACTGACTTCTACTGCAGGAAAACGCGCCAAGAAATTCCATTCTCGCCAAACAGCTGCTAATAAATTAAAACGTCACAATTATTCATCAGATTTGGCCCTTGCAGATTGCTTTTCTTTCCCTAAAATGAAATCTCATGTCAAGGTCATTACTTTAATAATAAAACACAGACTCAGAAAATCGCAACTATACGACCTTTTTCTGTTAAGAGTGCCATTTTGCGTCAAACATAAATCGTAACGCGAAATGTAACTCTAACGATATGTGGTAAACTTCATGGAAAAAAAAAAAAAAAAAAGTATAATTACAGTAATGTATCATATAATAGAATATAACATACATAATGTTTAATGTTCGACATGCCGAATCTGTGATGTTACTTTAAGCGAAGACGGACTCCTGTTTACATAAACTTTCTGCGTGCACAATGATCTGTTTTCGCTTAAAAGAATCACCGAATGGCACAAGCTCGGCGGTTTGCTCACATGTAATGCTGCACAGTTCTTCCTGATAAAACAGGCTACTACATTTCAAATTATATAAACAAACTACCACATTTGACGCTTGTCGCCCCGTTAACAGAAAAGTGCCAAATTTTATAAATATTAAAATACATCTCTTGGGTTCGTTGTTTCAATAAAGAAAACAAAATAACAAAAAACACTTATTGACAATACTTGCTTTTAAGCAATCAATAAATCTAACAATTTATCGCTGGGATAGCGCGCTGTTTCCAGCTCGTGAAGTGTTGCCAATAGGCACATAACTTTAAATATTCTGACGGGGTCTTTTAAACAAGACGATGTTATAAGAGATAAGAGTAACATATTTAATTTAGTAGTGGCAAATAGGCAAACCTGAAGAGTGTATTTTGTCGAAAATTAACTGGCCTTAGCTGGGCTGTAACAGATAATATCAAGAGCGTCATTTCTCACGGAACGGGGGAAAAAAAGAAAGAAAAAGAAAAAAAAAAAAAAAAAAATCCTTCCGAATGTATTATAATTTTTTTTTTTTCGAATTTTTATATTATTGTAATTTACAAAGAGCTTCGATAATATTTCTGTTTTTGGAAGTTTGGTAGGACTTTCGGGGCTCTTTTAGCGCAGCCCAAATTATAATTGACGTATAATCTAACGTATCGTGAAACTTATATACTTAAAGGTCAACTTTAGCTTAGATCCACTGATGGGATCTAAGCTATCAGTGGTTGATCCACTGATCCATCAGTGGTTGAGTAAAGACTGTTGAAAGCTGGTAATTCGATCCCGATCAGGTGAACGGGCTGGCTGCATCGTTGGTTTTCGTGATGTGTAACATGAACACAAGCCAGGTTCCCTTACAAAGTCCTCCACGAAAGCATCCTTCCTATAAAGCAGATGCATTTCGGAATTTTTCTATATTCAATATCTATCTCCAGGACAGATCACAACGCACTCTTTTTAATACAAATACACTATGATCACTTTTACATTAATCAAGAAGTATTTTTTTTATAGAATAAAATCATAAAAAGGAGTTAATTAAAAGCAATGGAAATGTTTTGTTTTCACATTGACCGATCTTAGTTTACTTCGCCGTTTCAATTATAAGGGTCTATCCTCCACCTCCAGAAGTTGTAATGCTATTTTTTCCTCCGTTTATTATTATTATTTACTTAGTACTAACTTTTCTCATACCTTTTTTTTATGTATATTACCATTTTTAAATGTATAATTCATTTAACACAGGCACACCAGTGGCCGAACGAAAGAGAACTACTGAAGACACGATGGTGCAAGCCGGCTGGTTCTACTGGATTTCGTGCTATTCTCCGTGTGTGAAATGCATAAGAGTCGGTTTTCCGTAGAAAGCCTAACACCGAGGCATTCCTTCATCACTTGACCATAACTGATAAAACATTAACAAATCCAAGATATACTTTACTTAGGATTACACAATTTTATATTTTTGATATATGCTCCACAAATTATGAAACAGAATAAAATGTACATAAATTAATGTATTAAAGATATCCTATTTTACTACATATATGTTTACGTCGGGTTAAAAAAATTACTTTGCATTATTATAGGCATTTAGCTAGTTTAAAATAAAATGGATTATCCAAAATCTATCCGCTGAAACCATTAGGGCGGCTGAAGTGATATAAATATAACTGAACTTTGATAGATCACCAGCGGCCAAGTGGTAAAGTCCGTTGAATACTGATAGTTCGGTCCGGAGTTCAAACCTCGGCGAAAGGGCTGACTGCATTTGCGTTTTCCTCCTGCGTATTTTGGATACAAGCCTTTCTTTCTTTTAAAAGGTCCTCTCTTTCCATATATAGTCTTAATGGCGGAGTGCGTAATAATAATAATAATAAAAGAGAATTCTGATAATTCGTCCGCATTTGATAGTTGGCAGTATAGAGTTTTTTTTTTTTTTTTAATCTACGTGCAGTATAAATACGTGTCGGTTAACTTCATCCACTTTGTTGAAATCAATAACCATGCTACTATGGCACGTTTATCTTAATTTACTGTCACTACCTGCTTATGTTCTGCGCAAAATCAAATAAATGCGAGTTTAATTATATAGCCAACTCATTCATACCAAGAAAGCTTCATGTATACTCTAAGCAGCAATTGAGTATTTAAAAAATATTCCAATTTCATTCTCTTTACTTCATTTATTCTAACTACTCATATGTAGTACATATATACTTACGGTACTGTGTAAAATGAAAATTCTTTTCTTTTGAAAGCTTAGAAACGCGACTTTTACTTCCTCGATCGATTTAACTTATCATTCTTGCGCTTTTGCCACGTATATGTAAATACACGGAACATCGTTTGCACACTTGACCGAACCCTAAACATTGCCTAAGTGAAGGCATTTTGACGATAATGTAAAGCACATGAAAAATGCCTCAGCAGTCCGTTTAAATAATGGGCAATCTGAAAGAAATTTTGAATGAATTAAGTTTGCACTTAATAATATTTAAGTAAATCAATATTAATAAAAATTCGTTTAAAGTTTCGAATGAACATTTTCATACGATTTTGTACAGTGGTAATATCGAGATAAAAATGGAGCGTTTACAGCATTTTCATAACAGACATGAAGTTATGCTAAATCAACAATTTATCCATATGCATATAAGGTAAATCTTATCGGCGCACACGTTTTCTCTTAAATACGGGATGAAATGTGTTATCACGATACCTAAACCTACACTTCCAAACTGCGGAGAGAACTGAACGAATTTGATGCCTGCTCTCAGCCAACGTCGCCACTTGGCGTCCGCAGCACTCCTTTGGCATTACGCAACAAAAAGTAGTTCTTATGGAAGGGCGACTTTGTATTAATGCGCAAAAATGGCGCTGCCCTTGTGAGAGAGTATACTTGCTGTCGGGTAGATGCAGAAATTCAACCGTTTTCGGTTAATGTATAATGGATTCGACGAAGAATATATTATCCAGATTACTTCAGCTAACTCCTATCGACTTTAAGGATGAAAACGATGAGGTAAAAGTAATTTTGCATTCTTTGTCAGAGTTCACTTTATGGACCATTGCTGGGCTCATGGAGTGCCATTCATTGTTCCTTTCTCATCGTTGAGTGCGCATAGGAAGTGGACATGTGACAGTAGTTTTCAAAGCGTCTAAGAGATGGCGCTGATTTTATAACTTATTCACGAGTTTAACTTCATATGGGTTTCTATTATAATAACCGGGATTTAATATTTATTCTTCTTATTTTGTTACACTCATTCTAATTTCTTTTTTTATATCTGTTTAATTTTTTGACTTCTTAAAGTAATTGGATTTTATTAAATTATGTTAGAAACGAGTTTTCACACATGTTTTTTCAAATGTCTTGAGGTACATACATGTGACTTTTCTTGTATTATATAAATATGCTGATTTTGAAAAATCAGCGTAAAATTTTACTATTTCTATCATTTAATATTTATTTTTCCGCTCATGATTTTATATATCATATTTCGTACATAAGTTTGCACGTGCTTCTGGAACAAATAATAACTTTAATTTCCTTACTCCTTATAAAAGTTTTCCGTTTAAAAAATATATTCTCGATCATAGCAAAATGAATAAAAACGTATGTATAAAATATTTTTGAAATAGTTAATGTGTGTTGAAAAACGTACTTTAATTGAGATCTGAATTTAAATGCCGGAGCGTAAATGAAGTTAAAATATTTTGGCGCTGATTTTGCTATAATAATGGTAAATCAGTATTAGTAAGCAATCGTAATCTGAAGGGGCATTTTTAAGATATTGGTAAGTCAGTGAGTGGAAGGGAAATCATAAAGCTAAAGGAAAATTAACTGGGCAAAAATGTCACCGTAATTTTGATGCATAACTGAGAAATGTTAAAGGAATAATTTGGAATGTTGGTGAATTTAAATAATCATAGAGTTCTGGAGAATGAAAATATATATTTGCATGCAGTCTATGAGAAGATAACTGAAACGTTAATGATATGAAGTAAAGATTGCCATATATGCATTTTGTGTGGTAAAGTTTTAGTCATATTTATTTATTTTTAAGTCTAAAGGATGTGATTACAGTGCCAGTTTAGAATTTGCAAGAAAATATTACACCATTTAGAAAGAAGTATTTTTTCAAGCATTCTTAAAAATTTTAAAATTTAATTTTTAGAAAATTAAAATCTAAATAATACAGTTGATTGTGTTGCTTTCAGATTGCATACATTGCAACATGAAAATATAGTTTAGTACTTTTGTGTGTTTCTCTATATGTCAGTAATTTAATGCAGAAGTAGGAAAAATGTTACTTTTCATAGGATCGGAGGCAGGCAGAATTGTAGCTAAGGTTTTCAGCACCTGTAAATAACTGAAGATTTCGTGGCCTCTCTAGTTTGCCAAGAATGGAAAACATTTAATTAAAAAATTTCGCATCCGGGACAAATGTATCCATGTATCTATACCACTAGTGGCAGATATATGCTTGCTTAAGTTAAATGTAAAGTGTGCTTTTTATTTTATCATAATACTAAATCAAAAATACTTTAAGATAAATTCTAATAAATTCTAATTAGGCTAATGTTTAGTTTAAAATATGCTGTAGTAACAATAAGCAGTTCTATATTATATTAGTCAGTATATGATATGTGGTTTAAAGTAATAAAACGAAAAATTAATTTTTTTTCAAAAAATTTTGCTATTTGATGAAGCCATTTAATTAACTTTTTTGAGCTATTAAAGGTATATAAATTAATGAGGATGCAAAGCAGCTTAATTTAAAGCCATGTACAACTGCTTTAACTCCCTAGTGATCGTATAATTTTGAACAAAATGGTAAAAAAGTGCCTATTTTTTATTCAAGAGAATTATAAAAAAAATATGTATATGAACAATATATGTATTCATTTTTCATGTTTGGAATTTTTTTAAACTTGAAATCAAGGGTACTGCCATCTGGTATATAATATAAAAACAAAACTTTTTCTGTGTGTAAGAAATAGATTGTTTTTAATCTTTTTGGTTTGTTTCTTTTGAACACTCCAGCCTGAACATATCACAGGTGCAAGAAAATAGATGGCGAAACTTCACCCCATGATTTTGACGGGAGCGAGAAGGATGGGGTTAGTTAGAAAAATTAACCAAAGTTCCATTTACTGCTATTTAATTAATAATGTTAGCCTGGAGTTGCCAGGTCAAGAAACTTTCATAAGTAGCTGTTTGGTTGTTTATATTAGCACATTTGTAGTGCTTTTTTCCTATGTGCTTAAATTAAACTGAAGAAGATGTAGTGCAGTATTTAACATATTCAGTGCCATTTGTATCCAAGTGCATGCAACATACACAGTACAAAGTCTGAAATCCGGACATCCAATATTCAGAATGATCTAGTATCTGAACATCATGACCACCGGCAGTTTTGTTTTCTTCTGCTAAATTTAGAAAATAAGAATGTAACAGAAAAAAAAAAAAAAAAAGTGAACTGTAAAAGTCCCAATTAGCTGAGATTCCCGTATGTCAGTTTAATGGCAATACATAGACTGATGAACACTTGGATATTTGTATACATCTGGCATTCAGCTCTTTCCAATTATCTCATGAAGAGGCCTGATGAATTAAAGGTTTCATAGATAGTTCTTAAGAAAATCTGGAAAAGTGAAGTACTTTCATCTGTGAGAGTCAGTCCATTCTGAAAAGGCGATATGGTCAGCACAGGACACTGGGACTGGGAAGGGAGGCTGGCATCTGGCGTGAGCTGTGGGTACGTGATCTGGGAGAAGCAACCTTAAATATTGTTTAGTACCTGAAACTTTACTTTGTGAGTAAAGTCCGGTATTCAAATAATTATTTATTTACTCTCAACAAACGGAAGGTCATCAGATAACAACATTTGTTTAGCAGCTTTTAATTGCTTTTGTTTTTTTAAGGAATTATAATATTGATTGATGTTAACTGTGATCTTACCTCCTGCCCTTGAGTTATTATGGAGGGAGTGAGGATTGTTTTTTTAACTGACCTAAACAATAAGTGAAGTGCCAAGACATACTATTTTATTTGAACTGGGTGTTGCTTGTACAGGTTGTCGTTTGTTGACATAGTAGTGGAGAGAAAAGAAAGAACTAGATTCTGAAGAATTTAAATTTATTTCACAGGACAAATTGTGCTTTTTTTTAACTTTCTAATTTGACCTAGCTTATTATTCATTGCAGAGTATTATTATTATTATTACAAATATCTTATTAAAATTAAAGTCTGAATTTTTATATATATCAAAAACATTTTCTAATTCTATATTTAGGAGCTGCAGAATGAAAGCATATTTGGTACTAGTCTTCTGTGGGAGCTGCAATGTAATTCAGCTTAAGGGACTTTTGTTTCAAAATTAGACAAAATAATGACTTGTTTTGACATAGCTTTTAAATGTTGTAAAAGTGGAAATTTCGGTGAATCTTCGGATTAGGGTAACTTGGCGAAAATTTGACGACCAACCCTGCTACAGCAACCTGCAAGTTTTTTTCTGGGACTTCGGCGATTCCGGATTATCGATTTTTGTGGATTATAGATCATCAGTTTAAATCTAGTAAAATGGCATGCAGAAATTATAAAATTAAAAATATGTAACCGTAATTTATGAAATAAAGAACAATTATGATCTAAAGGGTATTTCTCTCAATGTAATATGTTGCTTCGTTTTATGTGATAATACTTTCTCTTTAATTCTATAAACAGACAAAATTTCTTGTTCAGTTACAAACTTCCGCGGTTCAAATCCTATAATTGCTCTGTCGAGAATACCGACTAATTTGTCAATCAAAATTTTTACGTTTTCAATAACCGCTGTGTCACTTTCTTCTCTCTCGGAAGCGAATTATAATGACGAGGAATTTGATTTAAATCATATCAAAGATGGAGTACATCGAGATGAAGTACTACGTTTAGTAAGGAATTATAAGCCGAATAAAATAAAAACATCTGCCCTGAAGATAAGGATAGTGCTGACAGATCAACTACCAATTCATTGCGCGCCGTGGCGTTCCCCCCCAAAGGATATGCCTTTATCCATTTTTTGCAGCAATTCGACTTTTTGTTTAATGGACTTCGAAACATACTTTCTCTTTGTAGATCCTTTACATATTAGTAAATATATATCGGAAATTCTATGTGACATAATCGAAAGTTCAAGCTTACTTTTATAAAATTGCTCTAACACTCTGCAAAAAATAATAAGCCGGATCCAATTCGAAGATTAAGGAACAACACAATCTGCAACATTAACTGAATTAGATAATTTTAGCTTAGCTTATACCGCCTGTTATACATTAAACGCGCATTCGTAAACGTATTTTGCGCATGCGCACACACATATTCGCAGCCGTAAAGGTCTTACGCGATGCGTGCGCAGAAAGTTTGTAGCTTTGAGTTCCGAATTAACAACTTTTGACTGTACTAGAACTTTTATGGAACAAAAGTGCTTAATCATGACGAAGATTATGTGCGAAATTGGGAGAAAGTGCAGAATCGCCCATTGCTTGCGACGTTTTTAAGAATTTCACATACACATTATCCATGTACACGTCGACCTATTTTCACTTAAGAAAACATCCCAGAATTGCACAAAAATGGCAATGAGCACACTCTTGAATTTATTCATTTACACATCGACCTATTTTTACTTAAAAAGTCAAAGAAAATTGACAAAAATCGAATTCTTCTTACTCTTGTAAAAAGCACTAAACAAATAAATGGGCAATTCTGCACCTTAGCAGCGAAATTGTTTCTAAGTGCTTATTAGTTAAAATCATGATCGGAATTTTCCGAAAAATGTCACATTACATGTCTCATGATCTCTCATTTCTCTTAGACAATATAATCTGTGATTCAAACTGTGTATTTCTCAGATTATTTGCTAAAGTCCCAGCTAGTAACCTTTATCGCCTTACTAAAATGTCGCCAAACTACCTGTTACCATATTTCAAAGATTAGCCGAAATTTCCAGTTAATGGAATTTGTAAAGAAATATA